CAAAAAACGTTTGGTTCCATACTTTTTATTCATCTGGTATATCAATGATAAATAACTGTTTTTGCATCTTCTGTCAGTATCAAGGAGTGTTTAAATTTTAAAAACATTATTTATGTATCGTGCAAAAAATACCTTTAACCACAATTTTTAAACGCAACTTTTATCTAATTATTGCTGATTTAATTGTTTTTATTCTTCGACACTGTCAAAATTTACGGTTTTTCTCCCGTGTAAGGAAGTTTTGACAACTGTTTGGCATTTCTCAATACAAAACGTCAAATTATTTTTAACAGATTTAAAGCAAGTTTAAGCCTTGTTGACTCTAATTCGAAGAATAAAATGTTGTATTCCACTCGTTTGAGTGTAAATCGGACGCTTTATTCCACCTCGTGGATGGTAAACCACTCGTTACACTCGTGGTTTAAAAATCCACTCGGTCAAATAAAGAGTCCGATTTACACTCAAACTCGTCGAATAAATAACAATTTTTTGAAACCACGTTTTTATTTAGCTTTTATTTTTATTATTATTGCTGATTTAATTGTTTTTTTTTGAAACTACGTTTTTATTTAACTTTTATTTTTATTATTAGGTAGGTACAATAAAAATATGTTACATTAGTAAGCTGATGTTTGCAGCAATGAAAGTAAAATCAAAAATATTTTTTTAGGTAAAATACGAGGATAGGTACATTCTTTTAAAATTGAAATTTTAAAATGTAGGTACATTCATTTTTGTGAAAAGAATATTTTATTTTGGCTTAGAGTTTTAACTTTAGTGAAAAACTAATTTTAAAATTTTTATGTCTTACTTACTCTCAGTAAACGCCTGGCGTTTAAAGTTGTTTTTTGCTGAATTTTTTCAATAAAAATATCCATAAGATGCAAATGCGGTAAAGATCGTGAGTTGATTGGCATTTCTGACATTTTTGCTAACCCTGACTGCGCCAATTTAGTATAATAATTAAGTAATGAATCCAGTCGTCTCCCCACGTCTCAAAAATTTAATTAATACGTTGGCAATACTGTTCGTCACGCACAAATTTAAATGCGGGGAATGTAAATGGAGTAGAAGGACGATGGTGGCGACAAAGGCGTAAACTTAATGATTTTACATCAAGAGTAAAGAAGTCCTGTCAACAATTTGCATTTTACCTCGTCTTAATTAAATTAAACTCGTAAAGATAGCTTGTCGGCGAGAGCGAAGAGAACGTAGTTGGCAAGAATTTTACTAACGAAGTAATTATGTTGCTGCTAATAGAGGGGGCTATGAAGTTGTGCAAGTTTTGTTCTAACATTCAGTTGTTTAACGCGACTAATGACGTAACTTGAGCAGAAACGAATGCTTTTAATGAACCAACATCCGATTTTACTTGCTTGTAAATAATTGGTTATTGTAGAAAGTTGGGTAAGTCGGCATTCCGACACCAATCCTATCAAACGATAAACGACAAAAATCCAATCACAACCAACTAAAGTCTAATTGCTTAAACTAAAGTTTTCATAATATTGATACCTACAATCAAAGCTTTACCAAATTTTTTATTCTCATTCTATAAATTATAAATTATTTTGTAATTAATGGTGTAACAATACAACAGTGAAAAATCAAACACTTCTTAAGCACTTCAACAACAGTAATTACAATACTCGGATGAGTTAACATAATTTTATTTACTGATGGATGAATAGCCTCACTATCACTATAGCATTCGATTAGTATCGTGATTTTCCAACACCCATCTAATTATTTACGAGGTATAATATCAACAAAACAAAGAACGGCTAGTCATCAATCATCATAGCACTCCTTCAGTCAATGACGTCACCAAAATCTTATACCTCATATTAAAATTGACACTTGAAATTTTTCCATCATAATTATTAGTAGCGCATAATACCGAAAAAAAAATGTATGAAATCTAATACAATGACTTCTGGCGTGATTGACATTCGAGGTGGCTATAAAACCCTGTATTATTCTTGACAATACTCTAAGCTAGATGATTTCATTCATGCTGTTGGCAGCCATTGGTAGGCGGCACGTTGTTAGCCAATCCTCTGGCTCGACTATAGCGCACCCAATCGTCAGGCTACCGCACTATGTTCAAGTTGACGAGCTTTGAAATGTTTTATGCACTGTACTCTATGATAATTAGTGGGTTGCGCTTGCACTATTGTACACTGTGTGCTGTCTCGTTTCGTTGCTCACTCTTTCTTGTTGCTTCTTTCCGGAAAAAAGCGCCACTCCTTTATGTGCCTTAGAAATGTGCACTTCGAAATTTAACTTGTCGAATTTTTTTTCTAATTTTGTTGTTTATTTATATCTCTTATTTTTATAAAAAAACAAGTAGCGATTACTACTTGATTAATGATTATGTTAACTGTTTTAACAAAATTTGTGTTAATTAAAAAACTAACAATAATAAAAATAAGTACCTAGTGACATGTCAACAAATTGTTGTTTATGAATACATAATTACCTATAAAAAAGTTTATCCGCAAACGTCACAAAAGTGAACAATTTTTTTTAGTAAATGACTCAAGTACCTAATAGTATTAATTTCAGCCAGGAAGTAAAAATATCGTGTTTTTTGCTTAAGCGTTTTTACTTATACCATGACATTATTTACATTTACGAATGTGGTTTATTTCTTGTCTCTTTCGTTGCTTCAGCAATTTCTGGAGAGCAATTTGTAGATCATCTGTATATGAGATTTTGCACTGCTAACTGCACTAATCATCCACTCGTTAAATTAATAAATATTTTTGAAAATCTTAACACAAATTCCCATAGCTACTGACGCGTGGTATGATTTTATTAGGTAGTTGCAGAGCGTCCTGTTTATTTTGTTCATTTACTTGCTAATTATACGTTTGCGAATAAAATAGTATATAATGTTATTGTTTATTGTTATTGTAAGTGTTTTATTTAATTTTTTAAAATATTTATGGGTACGTCTCTACTAGGTATAGATGCAATACAATAGTGTACAGTACAATAATATGAATTATTAATTTATATTATTAGGTACATATTTAAAAAAAGTTTTTTGTAAAATCGTCTTAAAATTAGGTCATTTATGCATTAATTTGCGGGCGTAAATAGTGTCTTTTGCGCCCTAAGTCCAAAAAATCATCAACTGTAAAATCTTTTATTGAAATATGTAGTTACAAACAATTAGCTAATACCTAATAATAAAAACTTAAAAACTAAAAAAATCATAGAATAATGAGACCATAAGGTACATGGGCAAAATTTCTGCGACAACTCTTCTTTGAAATAAACGGGTAAAACGTTTTCATTAATCTGATGGTCAGCGATATTTTTCTGGGTGCACCATAGCAAAAATTCATAGTTTATTTTTTGATTTTCGTAACAATAATTCAAGTGTTACAGCTTTCGCTTCTTCGGCCAAAAAAAAATTATTTCTTCATGTTTTTCGTTTTCGGACATATTTTTATCACAAATTCAACTTCTTGAAAAAACACGTCAATATTTTTTTCAGTATTTTGTTTTTATTTATTTGCATCACATTAGCAACCAACAACAACTAGATTTTTGAGAACGAACCGTGCCAGTTATTTTCAAAGCTTAAAGGTGGATTTTACAAAAAATCTTATTTGCATTTCGGGCGTGAACGGCAATTTTGGCCCTTTGGCGTCTTATAAACCCTCGGCCCTTCGGGCCTCGAGCTTACAATTTCCCCACGGGCCAAAATCGCCTCCTTCACGCCCTTAATACAAAAATAGCTATTTAGAATTAGAATGTTCCAAATTTATTTTGTAATTTTATCATTTTATATGAAAAATTCTGCAAAAAATTTTGAACTAAAATGATAAATAAGGCTAATAGAGCAATCTCAATTTCACACACAGTGTATATGCTTTAGGTCCGTTACCAATAAAGCATGCGTATTTATTAAATATTTTTTCACTACTAGCTGTAAAAGATACCGTTATGTTGTAGTTTGTCGAGAGGTTGTGAAGTTGTTTTTCTCTCCCAGTAGTCAATAATCATTTTCATTATGGACCAAATGTATTAGAGGTGGGTAATGCCGTTAGAGGGTATTACACTGATACAAATATTTCTAAAATATTATTGTCAAAAACTATTACTTCTAACGGAAGTATTTCAAAATGAAAGTAATTCAAAATTTAATAAAAAAGACTTAGCACTTTTTCTCTTTTCATTGCGGTTTGTTTGTTATTTTAACAAATATTTCATATTATGAAAATTCCTTTACGAGTTTCAGAAGTACAAAAATGACGTAACCTTATTTTACGATAAGAAGAAAATAATACTTCTAACTTAAGTTAATAAGTCAGGTAAGTAATTAATTACTGTAGGTAATAGAGAATTAACAAAGGTAGTAGTTGTGAATTGCGACATGTTACGTCTGAGGCAACATGTTCATTAAGCAGGGTTAGGTATATTTAGATATAGCCTCGCATTTATTATTTCCCTCGATGCTACGCATCTCGGGAAATAAACAACTCAGTTATAAAAAAAAAATTTTCTCCCTTGTGATATAATATACTATTTTGTTAAAATAAATTAAAAATTACACTACATATACCTACCTAGGTAGTTTTGTTACAACTATTTAAAATACAGTTTTTGCGGACGAATCGTGTTTTTAGTAAATTTGTTTGCAAAAATCTTTTAGGTAAGTATGTTTATAAACTTACAAACACGATTTTTTTGTTAAAGTTCTAAAAACACATCATGTGTGATCAATTTCTCGGAAATATTATTTAAAAATAAAAAAATACTAGTACATACTATTTATTGAGTCCATAAAATAGCTATTTTTGTGAGCGTGTATACAAAAATATTTTTTTAAACCTTGATGTATTAAAAAAATTCTAAGAAACAGGAGCAAGTGCAAATTTATTTCTCGTATCAGATGTCGATATCAAATTAGAAATAACTCATTTTTTCCTTTCGGCGGATATATCCGGAAATTTGTTAAAGTGGCAATTACTATATTGACTCACCTGTATCCGATCTTCTGGTAAATCCGTTTTCAGGCTGAGCATTTCCCTGGCGTAAACGTCCGGATAGTGTGCATCTTTGAAGGCCTTCTCCAGTTCTTCCAGTTGGTAGCTCGTGAAAATCGTCCTGCCACACACCCACCAAGGGTAGTTAAATATGTAACACAGTGTTCTACTCTAACTAAACATCTGCACTTGACACCTTTACGATCTTCCGATTATTAAACTTTAAACAAACAACAAATTATTCTGTCACTCACTTTTACAACGAAAAAAAAAATATTACAAAGTCAAAGAAAACTCCTGTTTCAAATGAGGAATAATTCAAACAATGATGGATATTGAATGTTTAACTGAACAGAAGTATAACAGAACAATTTTCCTATTGTTGGTGGTGAATGTAAGGAGTGATTAAAGTAAGTAGTTACCTATGACGCCTCTTCTTTTTCTTCTTTTTATTAAAGCTTCCTAAACCATCTGTCACTGAGAAGTCTTTGGAATTATCTAGTTGTCCTGCAACAAATGTAACAAAATTTGACTTTATTACTCGCATGTGAGTAACGGTAGTCGGAACGTTTCTTTTTTTAATTTAAAAGTGTTTGCGGTAAGGTAATGATTTTGAAAGTAGAAAGATACTTTAAATTCGAGCGAATTTCCTGGCGCTGTTCGCAATTACCTAGGGTTGCGGTATTCTTTATTGGAAATTCCAAAGCTAGTCAGTTAATTTCGAAAGCAGAATGAGTATAAAATCCCTCTCCCTAAATGCCCTAAATAGCTTTAGCGCCATCTTAATTCACTTAACATTCCCGTCTGCACGCGATACGCTTCCATGCCTCGAACCACTCCGCATTATTATTATCAGTTTCATAAAATTCTGTCCATCGGATTGATTTACGCCAGCAAACAAACAAAAAACCCGAAAATTGTGTCATTTTACCGCAGATAAGGGCAGCGGTAATCGGGTGCGAACTGTACCGACTTATGAAATACCATAGGGCCATTAGCGCAATTTATGGACGACAGACCCGTTGATTGCCCATACCCTGTTTGCTTTCACCCCTTCTACGTCCGGAAAATACTTAATAACTTTACAGATAAATTAACCGCTGTCCTTTTACGCCAAACCCGCTTTAAATTAACGATGGAATTAAAAAATTCGCACTGAAACTAATCGTTTATTTTCAAAAGCCGAGTATTGTCTGATCATGGCGCAGGGGCTGTGCGTGCCCCCCGGGGAGACTCGGCCCCCGGGAAATGGCTGCACTTCACTTGGGTATAATTGAATTTTCAAACCGGAAGATTATTGGGCAGGAGATTGCTCCAGCATCCCTGCGTTGATTAGTTATTTCGGCTCGTTTTCTGACGGATTACGACATATGGGCAATTTTAAAGCCAGATTTGGACAACAAAAATGCATTTCTTCAACACCACTAGAAATGAGAACTAACAAGAAATTGACTTGTTACTGTTTCTTGACAAAAAATAAAATAAAATAAACTTTGACTTGAACTTTAATCGTTATCACAACTATAAACAGGGTGCTAATAGAAAGCATATTATGTCTTTGGCATATAGTACCTACACACAATATTTTTTTCTACAGCCAAAAAAATATTAGAGTTTTCGATGAATTTGCTAATTTTTAAACAGTTACCTATTTGTGGAACATTTCGTTTGTTTCTAGTTTTTTGTTCATATTTTTTAAAATTATTTATTTATTTTCTTTTACAGACTGAACAAATTATTTTTTAAAACATACTTAGAATATTTGAAGACCATTCATTTAAATATTACGTCTAATATGTGATGTAAATTGGTGTTCGTGTTTTTCGAGTAAATGTAAATTGCACATCTTCCAGTTCCATTATTTGTTTAGTGCTAATGTAATTCATTAAGTGAATAAATGTCCACATGTTAGCAAGTGTATTACATTCCCTAAGCGCCCCTAATCGAGCGTTAAGTCGGTCTCCAGAGGCAGGGTAGTTACCCCCTGGAAATGTGTCTTATTGGCAAGAGCGATCCACTTGTGCACATGTTGTTTCGTTCACTATCTATAAAACTTTAATTGAATATTTAAAATACTTTGCTCTCGTTATAAATAAATCGGTGGTTGCTGGAAATGTTAAATAAGCGAATGTCTAGACGTTTATTTCGGCGTCCACGAAATGCACCCAAACTTGGAATTAGTAATGAAGTGGATACAGCTACTGCACTGTTTGCTGCTCCGTTTTATGTCACTGCACTGCAGTTTGTCCAAGAACTCAAGCACTAAATGCACACTTATGCAAAAAATTTAAATTCTTTATGACCCCCGAGACTGACTCCTTCGCCCTAGTTGTGAAACGGAGTTTATTTTATTAACCGTGTCTCGGATATTCGATTAATTTCACGTTTCAAATTTAAAAAAGCCAGAAGTTCGCGTGTTAAAAATGAACTCGCAGTCACAACTTTAATCAAGAGTCGCTTTCTCCAATTCCCCCAATTGTGTCAAGAGAATAATGAAGAAATTTTTTGGTTTCGCACAAAACACCATTCATTCCACGCCTTACACCCTCGCATTCTTTTTCTCCCGCTAAGAAACATCCTGTATTTATATCTCTGCTAACATCTTCATTACAGATCAGTTTAAATTACGCAGCTTTGGTGATTTTTTAAGCGTAAAGGGAGCTTTCTTAGATGCTATTGTACTTTGTTTTATCATAATGGGAGGGCTGGAAACGGATCGGAACAAGAATAGGAGTAACGATCCATAAGTAGTAAATTTTGGTCATGTAATGTTGGTAATGCGACCATAACATCCAATCAGGGAGGATTTATGAGCGGACAGTCTTGTAAATTCAGCCGCGGGTGGTCTGCAAATCCAATTGTGCCAACATACTAGATTAAGCCGATTGATATTTAGGGCGAGTTTCAAGATATATTGCCGGGCAAAAGTTGTTTACGTCGATGGTGAAAATTCCAAACAGGGAAAATATGAAGTTGGAAAAGCACAAAAGAACGTATTCTGTCTATGTATCCCTTTTGATGCATTACTCTGCTTTTTGAGTGAATATTTTCACAATTTCAAGTTTCTGTCTTTTATATTAAAAAATTGAATAAAATAAAAGCACACTAATTAAAGCACATGAAACACATTTTGGATTTTTGACTGTATGAAACTACAGCTCGAAGCTTATGGATTTAAAATATCGATAAATATAGGTAGGTACAGGGATATTTACATAAAATGTCGACTCTGTAAGTGTTTAAAACGCACCACACAAATACATTTTCATTTTATAGATACCTTGAGAAATTAAAAATGAATAAATAAAAATCGGATCTACAATAGCTTTACTACACAATTTTTGATTTAATTTTTTTGCAAAAATGTACACCAGAAACAAAAGCACATGTGATGTAGAATAATCAGTGACTTTATTATTGACCCCACTTTTTGCTGGGAATTTAACTGGTGGAATGTTTCTTAACTTTCTTTTTTTTACACTCTACATTTTGACAGTATTGTAACATTTATGATGTCATTGGATTTTGAGTAATAACGTCATCATTATTTTTTTTAATGGCAACCAACAATTTTGTTGACTGTTAGTAATATGTGTGTTACATTCTTTATTTAAAAACATATTACCAAAAATAGTAAATAAAAATGTTGATTGCCATTAAAAAAATACTGATAACGTCGTTACTTAAAAATCATTGACGTTTTAAGTAATAGTACAATAGAAATAATAGTAACTTACAAAAATAAAAATGATCTGTTAGAGGTTTTTTTTTAAATGACCTATAAAATTATGAATTTTGTACGATACTTTTGGTTTACCCTGTATTACATATTAAATAATATATTTTAATTAACGAATTACTATTTTTATATTTATAGAGGGACCTTTATTTCAGCTCTCGTCTTCTATTGCTCAGTTATTACTTCACTTAGAATTTCGAATATCTTGTAGACTTTATTTATCGTCTACGGCGCATTTCAAAAAAATATTTTTGATTACATAACATATTTCAAAAAATGTGACATTAAATTTTAAATGGCATACTATTATTTTTGTACTCATTACTTACATATCCTCAATTTTTTTTTCAAATTTGTTTAAAGATTACCTACTGTAAAAAACAATGAAAACTAAGTTTTAAAAATTAATAAAAAATACAAATAGTGTTTCTTTGATATCATTACTTTTAGGTACTTATTAAATAAAGTCTAACAGTTTTAATAATCTAGTTTGACTGATCCGAATTACTACAGGGTGTGTACAATTTACTATTTACTAACTTTTCAAATAAAAACTTTTAATTTTTTTTTAGTTTAAATTAGAACTTTTATTTATTTTGACATCATTTGATGCAAAATTTATGAACAAATCGAATCATTAATTATTAATGTAGCAGTGTACTCCTAACATGTTAGCTTGTGTAGGAATGTCTGTTCGTAGAATAATAGTTATTTAAGTCGTTATTTAGAACATTAAATTTAGTGTTATGTCTATTTTTTCAAATGTATAATAAAAAGTAGCATTGTTCAAAGTAAATTTTAACAATAGTTGTTATATGTCAAAGTTTGGACACTGACAATTACTGTTGACTGAAAGAAATTTCTAGCTTTCTTGAATTCGTGACTTTTTAATAATTTAAAAATAAATCTACGTAGTTATTGGAATACGTAATATTGGTTGCATTCACTTTTCGTAAGAGTCGACATTTTATGAGAATGACTCTGTATGTGTTTTTATTTGTGTTTCTAACTGAGTGTTTTGCGAGAACACAAATTAGGTAAATTTTTTGCATGTGTAGGAGATGAAAATTTTCAATAATAGCTTGATGTATTTGAATTTGCATTCACCCATGTTTGATCCTTAAGTGGCACGCAGACCCGTTCGTTAAAAAATAATTGGATGCTCTGAAGTTATCACACATTAAGCCAATAAGCAGTTATGTCAACATTTCCATCATTGTTTCGAATCATTTCGGCGTGACAGACTAGTAGATTGTGCTATAGTGCCGCCATTAAATTACATTACAATTGAATAAAAAGGAATTAAAAGGCTTGGCGGGAGCACGAAAGCGTGACATTTGTAGAATGCGTCAACCATGATGCCGGTGTTTTCACACCTTAACTAACCCTTCGAGTCCGTTAAGGGCTTGTAGGTGGAGCTTTGGAGCAGTTCACACCTCGTATTCCATTCACTTCTTTTAATATCCCTTTTGTTTATAGTATTACGCGTCAGAAATACGATACGATGAGAACAGGTAGTTAATGGGTATTTTTTGGCGAGTTATGAGCGTAATAAAACGGCCATCGTCGAATTTGCTGCGTTTTTATGCCGATGGAATGCATAAACCGGCCGTTAACCGAACAAACAGACAATTCGAATTTCCGAAATTAATTAAATTGGAAGCGTTGTGGATGGTTAGTTATTGGAAGTTTCAATGCTCGATAGGAGCGTATTTGTTGGGTAAACATCTGTCAACAGACCTCCCTTTTACCGGTAACCTGTCATTAT